GTTCCATAGTAAAAATGAAATGATAAATTAAACTTTAAAGGTCTAGAACAGAAAAGTAAAATAGATAAGCAAGAAGCACAGAAGAATGAAGTTAAACAGCAAAAATAGATTTAATTAATAAATTAAAATTCTAGTTTTTCAAAAGGTTAACAAAGTAAAGGAAACTGGCAATAAGTTTATCAAGAATAATATATGCCATCCTGAGGGGATTTGACTGACCTTATCAGATCCAAAAGCTACAATTCATGTTACATAGGTCTTGCTTTATCTTGGTCTTAACCATCCAGCATAAAAGTATAAAAACGAAGTACAAGAAATAAAGCCATGTTGTTGTGTTGAGCTGTAGGGGACTCAGGTCAACAAGTTCTGACATTGCCAGTCAAGTGGAATATTTTGGGATATTTTGCTGAGTTCACACACCTATAATATTTGGATGATGGAGCTAAACAAAAAAAGGGGACATCGATGAATGACCATTTTGTGTCCATGTGTTCAGCATGATTGGGATAGATATATAGCTACATTCTCTTAATTCAAGGAATAGAGGGATTTGGTCTAATACTGTTTGCAAATAGGATGTCATGTCTGCATCTTGTACAACAGATAGCCACTAGGAAGGCAGCATACGATGTCTTGATTGTTGGAACTGTCCTGCCAATTTGAATTGAAACTGTCTCATTGCTATTTATTTCTCAATAAAATTATGAAAAAACCCAGTACCCTCCCAAAAAAAGGTTGACAAAATTCAAATAATGTGTAAAATAAAAAATTTCTTCTTTCCCTACTCCGATTCACTAAAAGTAGCTTTAATTTGGTATGTCTTAGAGACCTTTTCCTGTTTCTCTGTGTGTGTATACTTTCATTACTCATATATGTGTAGGATTACCACAAAACAAAATGGGTTGTTACATGCACTATTTCACAACTTTTTCACTGTGCAACATATTATTTATTCCTCTTGCATTAATATAAGGAAATGTACTTCATTTAAGAAAATAATAATAAATACCAAAACTCTATGAGAAATATATTTACTATTTATCCCATATATATTAACAAAAATTAAAATTAAACCAGTCAAAAGAATAAATATTAATAAAGGCATACAGAACAAAAATAAGATATATAGTTACTTTCTCTTAGTTCAATGAGAAGAAAGATTTGTACTAATACTGGTCAGGCAAGATATCATGTCTGCATTTTGTACTCTGTATAATTACCACAAAGATAATATGCAATGTGTTAATTATTTCTAGGTTGCTTGAGGCGGAATGCTGCATATAAAGATAGGTATTGAAATGTGTCATACATAGGGCAAATTTCAATGGTAGGAAATTTTTTCATAGTAGATGTATTAGTTGGTCATATAGGAATCATGGGTATGAAGCTCGAATTCATAGAAATAGGGCTGTTAGAGCTAGTGTTTTAATTATAAAATTTATTAAATGTATTTCTGGAATTATGATGATTGGTATAGATTTGAGAAAGATGATTGTTCTTAGGGTACTTATTATTAAAATATTTATATATTCCGCTATAAAAAATAGTGCGAATATTCCTGCAGCATATTCAACATTAAAACCTGAGACTAGTTCTGATTCACCTTCAGTTAAGTCAAATGGAGCTTGGTTTTTTGTAGAGAATCAACCTTACTAACCTGTTCTGAAACTCTCTCATTGCTATTTCTTTCTCAATAAAATTAATCAATAAGGAGAAAATAAACACCAAAAATGAAAGAAAAAAAAAATAAGTTACAAACCATAGGAAGACACCTTGCAGATTTCTATATAAATTTCAAAATCTCAATAAAGGAATAATTTCCCATGGAAAAATTATTCAACGGCATTGATTCAATTATACATTGAAATCTTGAAAAGGTCAATTTCTGTCTATGGAAAGGTTAGAAAATTCTGTTTGGGGCACAATGCATAAAAAGCACCAGGTTGAGACAGCTTCTCTGGGAACTCTACCACGTCTTCCAAAACTAAAGAGTAGCACTGTGAATTGTTTCAGAAGATCAAAAAAGAGGATCTCAGGATAAATCCTGAGTGGATTTCACTGACCTTATCAGACCCAAAAGCTACAACTCTTGTTGCATAGGTCCTGCTTCATCTTGGTCTTAACCACTCAGCAGAAAAGTATAAAAACAAAGTATAAGAAGTAAAGCCATGCTGTTATGTTGAGCTGTCCCTACAACTCAGATCAACAATTTCTGACATTGCCAGTGAAGTGGAAGACCCAATACTATTATGGACTACTGGACTTTTTTAGAATATTTTGCTGAGTTTACACACCTATAATATTCAAATAACGGAACTAAACAATAAAAGGGGATACAGATGAATGTCCATTTTGTATCTGTGTATTCAAAATGGTTAGGATAGATATATAGTTACATTCTCTTACTGAATAGAGGGATTTGTTCTAATAGTGTTTGTAAGTAGGATACCACGTCCACATCTTTTACAGCAATTAACCGGTAGGAAGAATGCATGCAATGTGTAATTATTGAAACTGTCCTACCAATTTGGTTGGAAACTGTCTCATTGCTATTTGTTTCTCGATAAAATTGTGGAAAAAAGGAAAAGATATTGCATGAAAATGGAAACAAAAGACTAGAAATATTTATTTCTTATATCAAACAATATTGATTTAAAGATGAACTGTGGGGGGTGGGGAGATGGCTCAGTAGAATAAGCACTTGCCTGGCAAGTGCAAGGGCCTGAGTTCAATCCCATGTTCCACCAAAAAATAAATAAATACATAAATAAATAAAAATCAACTGTAAAAAGAGACAAAAAAGGAAATTTTCCGAATAATTCATTTTGGCAGCAAGTGTCTAAATCTCATAAAAGACACACAGAGAAACCAAGATTGGTATTTCTCATGCAGACCAAAACAAAAATAGTAAGCAAAACATGGAAGACCAAGAATCCAAGGGTTATTGCAGTGGTTAATTAATTGTCCATTTGAGTGGAAACGTCCAATTGAAGTGATGAGGCAGCAGGGTCCTGTGGTGGCAGACCTGAGGGAAGATGCTGAGGGAAGATGGTGATCAGAACGGGGTGAAGGAGAACAGGAGGGGAGGACTGCAACTGATTTTCCTCAGAGTAGCTCAGGTCCTCGTCTTGGCCCTGGCCCTCCTCTGTCCACCTCCTGCACAGGTTCTTCAGCTTCCAGCATGGCCTTAGCTACCCTGTGGACTCTGATTCCCGGTGTTGGCCCTTCAATCCTAGTGCTGCCCCTCAGTCTTCTGACCCTATACTTTGGTTGCTAGCAGTCTTTTGAGGAGCCTTTCTACAGCCTGGCAAGCTCTCCTAAGCACTAATCTGTGAAATGAGCAAATGCTATGCTATGATCTAGTGAACCCAAACCTTGGAATGTGCAGGACCCCTGGCCATCACCTCCTGTCTCCAGCCGTGCTCACTCCACGAGTCATCGCTCACCACCCTCCATCTCCTCCAAGTTCTTGAAGAGTATCTCAGGGTGTCACCTAGATATTCAGACACTGTAAGAGGAAGCTGGGATGACACCACTTGCTGTTTTGCTTCCAGAATGAAAACAAAAGTCCTAGTTGCATGCTGAAAAGCGTAATCTCAAGCATTCTCAAGTCCTTGGTTCATAGATTAATTTCTTGTCATCAATACAGATCTGAGAATTGTTTGTAGAGATTCAAAATGCTAGGTCCAAACTCCCATAGCTACCATTTCCACTTCTAGCTGCCCTTACTCACATTTTTGTTGTTTCAGAATTATCCAAAATTATTTTAATGTAAGACACCTCGTGATTCATTAGTAGGGACTCCTTTTAGGCCATTTTTCACACTGCACTTGGCCAATCCAATTCACGCAATTATTGAGCATGAATTACCTTTTTTTTTTTTTTTTTGTGGAACCAGGGATTGAACTCAGGCCCTTGAGCTTGCCAGGAAGCGCTTATTCTTCTGAGCCATCTCCCTGGCCCCTTCGAGCATGAATTTCATCCAACTTGTGGAGCTAGATGCTACGCCAGTGCCCTATTTTGTTTGGTTAAATGATTTTAAAAGCATCTATTTTCTTTGTCCTATCTTTTTATCTTAATTTCAAACTGATATTAAATACAATAACAGTGAAAATTACATTTAATAGCTATAATAATTGTTTAAGAAAAAGATCTCTACATTTAACTTCATAATTCTTACTTCATTTTGGTTTTCTTCTGCTAAGAGGATAACATTTCATTAGAAAGCCCAGATTTTATGATGGGACGATTTCCAGTTGAGGAGGAAAAATGCTCCTCTTTATTTATAGCAGGTTTGAAGTGAGAAATTTCTTTGAGACTTTCTTGCCAGGAAAATCTTTGTTTCCCTAAGGATTGTAGTGTGCTTTTTTCATTCCATTGGTGAGAACTATGTAAATTACTGTGTCACACATTTTGCTTCACTCCTGAGAAAACCAGACTCTTACTTGGTTCTTATTTATGGTAAAAATATTAATCCATGGGGTGGAAACATTTTTGCTTTTGTCTCTTTGTCTCTTTCCATGTATATTATTTTATCAAATACAGCTGATCCTCCATATTAAATTAATTTAATTTGAACAAATATTTGTCAAACTCATATGCTATAGGCCATTAAAGGCAAAGCATTGGAGGTTGAATTGTGTTGTGGTTAATTGGGAATTTCATGTACATCTTAGAAAACCAAAGAGAAAAAGAAATAAAATAAAAAAAAACGCCAATCAGCCACATAGTATTCAACTGCTGAGGAGCAAATGAATATGCCCCTCAGGTAATGAGTGACAATTCCATCCCAGCGGTTTCTTTCCCACTGCCATAGCTAGTACTAGCCCTCAGCACTGCAAGTTCTCCGTCCGATAGGCCAACCAAACAAGGCCAGAAACTATTTGAAAACAAACTGCATCTGATCTGAAGGTGTACACACTGTTTTACTGGACACCACTTCCTAAACAATACAATAGTCTATGATTTATATAACAACTCAGCACCCTACAGATGATACATAATTTGCAGATGATTTAGACAATACAGGAGAGTGTGCTGCGGCTGTGTGAAATCCCATGCTGTTTGATGTAAGGAACTAGATCATCTTGGACTTTGCTTTCCTTGGGGAGTCCTCTACCCAATGCACTGCATAGTAAAAAATAGTGGCGGATCTTTCTATAGAAGCTACCTTGCAATCTTTGGAAGCCCATACTGAAAATTCATAACTTATATTTAAAAACTAAGATATTTAGCATTGGAATGCTTTAGTTTTATAAATCACATATTTATGCCTTGTCATCCTAGCTGTCTATTTCAATTTTGTGTCTTCAATGGATTTATAAATCTTATTGTAATTCAGAACAGCAGCATCTTTCTCTGTTACGATTTATGCTTGGAGCAGGAGGAGGAGGTACAGTGTAGTCAGACTACAAGAGGCCACAGAATAGACTTGATAAAGTGCTCCAGTTGTTCTCCATCAAGAAATCCTCCCAGGTGTGGAGTCATTGTGTGGACAGCACTTGATAACTGCTGTGAAAACTGCAGCATCTTCCTGTACTATTGGGCTGCACTTCGGTTTCTTTGCTGTCAGTTGCAGTTTTCCAAAAGACAATGGAGCAAAGAAACTGGGTCCTGGCCAGTGGGTGCAGCGGTCATCTGACCTGGAGGGGATAGAAAAGATGTTGGCATCATCTAACATCCTTAGGTCAAGTACTCTGGCTGTGCAAGGCAGAGAGCTGTCAGCACAGCACACAGATTTTTATCATAGTACAAAAAGACTAAGAGGATGAGGAGACTCCTTGGCTTCAAAACGCTAGAGGGAATATTCAGATTTGTTGCTAGCATTTATTGGCCTAAAATGAGAGAGAAATCAGAGAGGTCTGCCTTTCAAATCTATAAGAACCAAGGGAAAGAATGAATGACCTTTAACAGTAGTGACAAACATGTCTCGGTTGCAGAGGGTGTGAAGTCAGAGATGAGAGGCGATGCCCTATGAGAGGATGGGCAGAGGGGTCAGCACACATAGGCATGTGCGTGTGGGGCCTCGGACACTGGGTTTTTCGGAAGCACTGTCTTCATCACTAGAGGGGTCACACCTATGGGTCGCCCCAGTTGGAAAGTACAGTCCTGGATGATTTGTAGAAAAGACACAGAAGTAAGTTTTGAGGGCTTTGAAGAAATCAGAATAAAAAAAAAAATCCTAATGGCATGACATGTCTTTTGTTCTTTCCCAGGTAAAAACCAAAAACTGAAATTAATCAGAAACACTATGATTTGGAAGTAAGAAAAGTGAAGATATGCCTTGGACAGGAACCTAATAACCTTAAGTAATGTAATGACTATAGGCTAGAACATGAGCTATGGTTATATCAATAGGAATGACAAATGGGACAGGGGTGCTGGAGGAGGAAGGAGAGGAAAGAAGGGAAGCAAAGGGGAATTCAAAGAAATAGAAACAAGCTGCAGTGTGTATAGGCAACCATTTCCCAAGACCATTGCAAGCCACGTGAACTGTAAACGTGTGCAAACAAAATTTTAAAAAAATTAAAAGACTACAAGAAAGATCTCCTCTGTCCTTAATCTTTACTCACTTTTACTGTCTCTGCAGTATAGATTCCCTAAGACAGACAGCTAGCTTAATATCTGGTTTATTTGGAAAAATATTACCATTTTATGAGGCAGAGAATCCTGAAGCAGTCCAGAGTACCATTATGACATCTTAAGCAAAGTAAGTATTGACAAATTCAGGACAGCTGTAACCATGTTTTCATTAGTTCTGCTCAGTGTTTAGAGCATCCATGGAGTGCTCTTTTTTAAGAATAAAAAGCTGAATTTCTTTGGCAGGAAAGTAATTGTGAAGTGTTTAAGCAAATGAAATGAGCTCTCTTTGCACTGAAATGTGAAGCTCCCATTTCCTCTCTTTAAATTTTTAAAAGATATTATTTTTGTCAGTGTTATCAAGAAGAAACATTAAAATTCATCTCACCCAAAACCTCTACTGGGTAAGGGAAAAGGGAGAAAGATGCTAACTATCAGCAAACAGATCTGATAACCTGCAGAGTATTTCCGCGGTCAAAGAAGGACTGTGGGATAAAAAACACGTGTTCCAGATTTGACAACCCTTGGCATCTTGTAAATAGCCTTTAAGAATCCATACCTTAAAACTGCCAGTGCCAGCAAAATAGTGCCCAAGCTTCTAGGAAGCTAAGCAAGCAAAGCAGGGAAAGGAAATGTGACTAGATTGCATATAAAAACCTAAAGACCTAAAAAGTGACCTGGAATTCACTTTACCAAAAGATAATCCCACACTTTGAAGAATTGCCTTCTTATTTATAAATCAGAGAATACTTTGGTATGTACTGAATATGAGTAGATAAAATTGTAGAGAATAAACATGCCAGGTGGGATAGGGAAAGATGAAGAGAAAAATGAAAAAGATTCCAAGTTACAAAAAAACTGCTGAGTAACTAAAAATGATTTTCTTAATATGAACTATTTCTGACTTAAGGATATTGACATGATCCCTGGTTTTCTAACAGTTCAACACCCTTTTCCTGAAGTGGAAGGGTGTATTTATCAGTATGTTTTCAGACTGAAAGCTGAAAGAGGGCTGTTTAATCTTGGACTTGAGATATGCCTTCTCACTTTCTACACAAGTTGCTAGTGTAGCATATTGACCTCATGAACCAAAGCGAAGGTCCCATAGTGTAGCCAGTTAAGAGAAGCCCATGGTGCCTATCACTGCAGACTGGGCTCTTTATTTCTTCCTGTCTCAGTCCATATGTATTGCTGTAACAAAATGCCAGAGACTAGATAAATTGTAGAGAATAGAAGTGCATTTCTTATAGTTCTAAAAGCTGAGAAGTCCAAGACTAAGACTCAAGATCTGCTGAAAGACCTCTGATGCAGTATCCCAAGGCAGGAGGTGAGAGGCAGAGAGAGAGGATGGAATGATGGGGGGCAGGGGCCAGAGAAAAAGAGAGAGAGAGAGAGTAAGAGAGAGAGTAAGAGAGAGAGAGAGAGACAGAGAGAGACAGAGAGAGACAGAGAGAGACAGAGAGAGAGACAGAGAGGGACAGAGACAGAGACAGAGAGAGACAGAGAGACAAAAGGAGAGAAAGAGAGAGAGAGAGAGAGAGACAGACAGACAGACAGACATACAGATAGACAGACAGAGACAGAGACAGAGAGACAAAAGGAGAGAGAGAAAGAGAGAGAGAGAGTCTGGGTTGCTGTTTTACAGGGAACAGTCTTCCTTGTTTTCTTTTGAGACAGGATCTCACTATGCAGTTCAGGCTGGCCTTGAATTCACTTTGTATCCCAGGCTAGCCTCAAACTCACAGCCACCCTCCTGCCTCAGTCTCCCCAGCGCTATTATAGGTGTGCACCACTGTGCCTGGAGAGGAACACATTCTTGAGTTGAGACCTTTAATTTGCTCATTGCCTACTTGTCCTTCCTTAAACTCCACCTCTCAAAGTGATCTCATTGGAAATATGTCTCCAACCGTGCTTTAGGCAGTGTGTTCCAAATACAGCATGCCTCAGGACTCAAAATTTTTAGATTATTCCATCCTTTCTGTTAAGAATTTACTTCTATTCTGAAATTATTTTTCTAGGAAACTGGTAATTAGAGCTTCTAATTTGCATTTTTTATTGACGTTACCTACCATGAGTTTTTATTACAGCCAAAAGCAAAATCACAAAATAAAACAAAGCAAGAATACTCATATTTTTCACTCTGTGAAATTCTATTAGGATAAGTATACATCTCCATACATTAAAGGTAATGGCATTTATTAACAATACATTGCATACTAGATAATTTATTAATGTGATTTTATTCCTTATGGCTAGTGTGCTAGTTAGGAATTAATGGTTAAGATCCATAAAATAAAGGTGTCCAAATCTGATAGACTCAATGAATTGTAAACCTAAATTTTGAAAAGGAAATAGCAGCTTTCAAAATCTATGACTTTTTCGGCATTCTTTGGGGCCTCTGTGACAGACAGCTCAGTCATCTACAATATAAAACCTACACATAATTTATTAGATATGTCTCTACTGATAAATTTTTAGATTATTTTCTGCTTTTTGATATGTAACAATAATGCTATAAATACAGTTTTTGAATGCACTTTCACCAATATTTATGATTAATCCCACACAGTATTGCACGTGAATGAATATTCATAGTTCCTAAATTTGAAACATTGGGAAATAGTCCTTCAAAAAGTCAAAATAACTTTGGTTCACACCACTGCTATTAAGGATAGCTTGTTTACTAACTTATTAGTAACCTTTAGTATTTTGAAACTTAAACATTTACAAAGTTCATAGCAAAAAATCTGATTATGTTGTAAAAGCAATTTTGTGATTGTTTTTAATGCTTAGAACTATTACATAGTTATTTTTATGAGTTATTTAGATATTTCTGAGAATTCTGTTCATACTCTTTAATCATTATGTTTATTTATTGATTTGTGGTGCTATGGTTTAAATACTCCAAAAACTAATGTACTGTTATGGTTTATGTCTAGTTGCTCCCTAAAACTTCACTTAGTCATTGTGTGGCTTCTAGAGTTTGTGATTAATCTGTGAGCCAATGCCAGGACTATGGGTGTGACTGCTGCTGTGATTATGGGCTTGATCACATGCTCTGGGGTGGGTGGTTTGCATTACAATAAAGGGAGGGAGAGAGGTTTGCTTGAAGCTGCAGCCACTGCCCCTCCCTTTGCTCTTTGCTGTTTTCACTGCCATGGAATGCTGCCCTCTGCCATGTGCCACTCTTCTTTGGAGCCAGATGAGTATGGACTGAATCCTACACTAATGGTGAGCTAAATAAACCTTTCCTTCCTTCATTTCATGTGTCAAGTATTTTGTCCCAGCAACAAGAGAAAACTAAGTGAGATATATACGCAAGGCTCAGTTTCCAATGCCGCAGTACTCAGAGGTAGGGCGTAGAGAGAAATAAATGCACAATGAAGGAAGTATTCTCATCAATCAATTAATCTACTGATGTGTACAGAGCTGCAAGGGCTATTAGGAGGCATGTCCAGTTGGAGAAAGTGGGTTGACAGGGACGCATCATTGAAGGTGTGCCCTGCCCAAGCTTCCCCGGCTCTGGCTTTCTCTCCCCTTGGTTCTGCTTCCTGGTTGTCATAAGATGAGCCACTCTTCTTCCTTGCACCCTCTACCATGGTATTTCTGACTTGTAGCTGCCCTATCATGGGCTCCAGCTTTGAAAAACACAATCCCAAATAAGCCTCTCCTCCTACACATCATGGATGTTAGGTGCCTACTCATGAAGTGACCGAAGCTTATTGAAACAAATTGTATGTTCTGAGTAATAATACTTCTGACTTTGTCTTTAAATGCTCTCGCTATATACTTAGAGTCAAAAAAATGTGTGGTTCAACCATAGATAATGCTCCTCTAAACATTTTGTCTATTGAATGTTTTATTATTTCCTTGGCTTATAGGTGAGGAAATGTAGGCGCAGAGAGACACTGAGCTAGCAAGTTGCAAACTTAGGCTTGAAATTCAAGTACCATGGCAACCACAGTGCCTAACAACATGTATCTTTTCCTTTATTTCCTTAGTGGCTGCTGAGGTTTCAGGGAAAGCTAACTATAATTATTAGGTTTTAATCTATACAAAACAAGAAAAAAAAGTTTTAGAGTACTTGTTTCCCTTAACAGATTAGAAATAAAAAGTTGAGTTTGTACTCTTCTACCATACCTCTGTTTTGGCCTTCCTATGACTGTAACTAAACAACCAAGAAAGACCTAGATAAAGAAAAAAATTCAAAGTATATTCTGAGACCATAAACATATCATGGGAACAATTAGAAACATTGTTAAGCACAGTTCCACTCTCTGACATACTTAGAAATCTTCCTATTAAAAGCCAGTGTGGCTGCCAGCGGCCATCTCCTGTGAAAGCTTTAGCGGAGGTGCTCTAAGTCAGTGTAGCTGTCTGCTGCACCTGTGGGGCTGTCAGGCCTGTGTCCACAGCTGTCCTGCCCAGAAGCACTTGCTCCTGAGCTCTGCAATGAGCTCCCTGACTCGGAACCTGATCTTGCACCCTCTCTCCCACCCTCCCCAGCCCAGCATCTTCCCTGCTTCCCTTGGGCCAAGAAAGATTCTGTTCAAGGCACTTCTGCATCTTGCCTTCTCCTTTCTTGTCTTTCAGAACTGAGGGTGACATAGTCTCTCTCTCTGCAGTCCTCTTAGTAGGAGAGCCTCCCAACTGTTTGACCCCATGTCTGAGCTTAGCTAAGGGGATTTTGCCTCCCAGAACCTGTACGCTCGGTCAAGGCTGTGACCCTATTTGGTTTTGGAAAGACTGTGCTTCCTTGGTTTCTTTTGAATTGGTTTGGCCATCTCTCCTCAGAGTCACAAGCCTGTGTCTTAATTGCACAGAAGTGTCTGATTGGTAGCAGGTAAGTATTTTCCAGGGATTCCCGGTGCCCTCAGTATTTCCCCATTTGGTGTGATTTCATTAAAACATACTAGTCTTCTGCATCTGATGAGATAATTTGTTTGAATATCAGCATCGCTTGTTCTCCCAAGGAGCACACAGAGACTCAGCAGGACCCTACATGATTTCACCCCAAAGTGTCTCACGTGAGGAGAATGTCAGCTCCTCCCCGAGTGGGTGTTTGAAAGCTCGTTGTTGCCCTGGACCGTTGGGCCTCCTCCCCTCTACCACGGATTTCTGCCCAGGGCTAGGTCTCCGCCTAATGTTTATGTGGGTCAGAGATTTTTTTTTTCCCTCTCATTTCACAGATAAAAACTGCTCTTCATTTCCATATTCAGTGTCTGGATGCCAGCAAAATGTCCATAATTCTTTGTTCTGCCTAGCTTGTTACACAACTCAACATGAAATCTGATATGTGAAAATTGGTTCTTTTGCAATTTGTATTTGTATATTATTTTTTGGCAGACTTGGGGAAAAGGCCTCTTTCCTGGCACTGAAAGTAGCCAGTCTTGGCGTGAACAGCCCCTGACAATCCCCAGCATATGGGAAGAGAAGGCGCTGGCTGCTGCCCACCCATCAGGTAAGTGCCATCTTTCTGACTGGAGCCGTGATCGATGTTGTGCTTGGAACGCAATGACTGCTGGGAAGGCTGCCAAGCAGCTGACTAGGCAGAGCCAGTGCGCAGGTCAGGCTGTACCAGGGCCTCGGTGTGAGGCAGGTTTGTTCCTCCCCATCACACCGGTGCCACGAGCTGGAAGAAAATACGCTCAGAAAGGTCCTGGCCTGGACTGTAGAAGTGAACATGATTTGTTTGGTGGAAGTAGCTTCAGGGTTTGCAATGAGAACAATATTTCGGGAGGTTGAATGTAAATTGCAGCGAGCATGGATTTGAGATTTTTAGGCCAGACGCCATGTGTTAGCCCCCCCAAGTATGAAACGGACACGGCTGTCCCAAAGAGGTGGAAGCTAGTGCTTAAAGTTGCCTCCACATAGTTTATAAAGCAGTTTACCTTCAGCACGGGCTGGCAATTTCAGCCAACTGGGCATTCTATTCTTCTCCACTGACAATTGTCTATGTAGACAAAGTGGGTTAATGCAGAAATGTCAAATGATCCAACGAGCAAAACTGCGGCTACTCAGAGAGAATCATAGGTAATACTTTGAAAAATAAACTTTCTATTTACAAACAATATTTTATGAATGAGAGGACACAAGGCTTGCTCTCTTGCAACTTGCAGTTCTCATTCAATATATCATGAATATTAGTATTTTTAATGCAGTCCCCACGACCTTGTATATGTGCACAAATATTTACTGAAGCACCCCTCAAGGGAGGACATTTAGGTTGTTTCCAGTTCTCTAATATTATAACAGTGCTGCTGATGGTGGTGTTTTATATTTCTGCAGTTATTGCTTTAGGAAAATTCCCAGAAACTGCCTCGTTGAACCAGTGGTAAGAACATTCTTTCCTTTGACATATACTGCTAAGCTTTCTCCAAAAATATTTTATTAATTCATATGGTCCTAATGGCATTTAATTCTATAAAACTTTATGTTAGTGAATTAAATTTTATTTGCAGGCAGAGGTAGGGATGCTTCTGTAGTTTTCACATGACTGGAACAGACATGCATGCTAAAGAGAGAAATTACGAACACATTTGGCCGTCATCAGTGGAGCCATTGGTAGGCAGCTAGGCAGAATCTTTCTAGAAATAAATACATGCAATGTTCACTATCGGCAGCTTCATCCAGGACTGCAGTAATCCGTAGTCACATTGGTTTGACTTGGTATTATAGCTTTGCACTGTCTCCAGGACCCATTGCATGTTCTTGCCTTTTAGATTTCCCTTCTTGCGTTTCCCTCCTCCTGCATTTCAGCAAATGAAATGAACCACGAAAACTTTACCAGGCCCAAGTAGAAGCCCTGAGAAAGGAGTCATTTATCTGCCAGCAAATTTACACCAACACATAACGCGCATCTGTGTGTAGAGAGTTTTCTTCTTTCTTGCATTGGCTCAGACAATGATGACAATTCTGAAGTACCGAAATCAGAGTGTCCAAGTAAAATGAGAAGTTTTAGTAGTCTGTGTAAATGTCATGCTTGCTCTTGGTTCCTGACATGTAGCTTGACCCAGCAGCTTGCGTCAGGGGCAATGCTGCCGTCCCACAGTGGAGACATCTGGCAATGTCTAGAGATGACTGATACCAGAATCTAGTGGGTAGGGAGTGGTGACACTGTTGAATATCCTACAGTGCGTAGGAGGGACTCCTACAGAAATTGCCAGGCCTCACGTGTGAGTAGTGAGAGTGTTGAGAAGTCCTGCCTCAGCCCACAATACACCTCAGTCTTTGAGAAAAGAGTCCACCCTGCCTGGGCTTTATACAGAATAAGTAAAAACTAAAATGCAGCTACCTGTCCACTTGATGCACGGTGAAAATGCTTTTTGAAAGGATGTACCATGGCTCTTTTCATAAGCAATAAAAATCTTGAAGAAAATAAGCAAATTATACGTGAAATAGATAAACCGAACGTAAGTAGCAAACATCTAGATGCTGATTTCCTGCAGTTCTTTCTCCTCCTGTCTATCGTCACAGCCAGTCTGAGCATTTATGTTGGCTTGATCAATGGGAGCGGGCTTGGTGGAGGACTGAAAGAGGTGACTGGCTTTCTATTCTTCCCTACAAAAATTGTAGTAGAGTTAGGCTTTGTTGATTTGCTGAGCTCTTTTGCCTATCAGGGGTTTAATCTCTTTGGCTCCTCCCCCATTTTTCATCTCATCTACTTCCTATTTCTTCTTCATGTCTAAGCTTTAAGTGCTCTGGTTCCCAGAAAGCCTCCTAGCATCCTCGCTTCTACAGTATCCTCATTATCACATCCGTAATATGCTCTAGTTTTCTGGTTTACAATGCATAGTAAATTAAAAAGTCATACTATTTGGTGATTGTGGCCAGTATCCACCTGGGCCCTATAAGTAGTCCGGGCAGGACTGTGAGCAGGAGGTTGTTTTATCTTCAGTGCAGAGCTCAGGCCTGGTCCCTTAGACAGTGCAAGAGAGTTTGTGATGAATGGATGAATAAAGAAATGGTCGTGTTGAGTGTTCCACCCCAAGTCAGCTTAGGGGTTCATCCAATCTCCATGAAAATATATTCCTGACTCCTGTTCTCTCCAGATCTCAAAGAACATCCTTTGCATGGTGTGTAGATTATGTGCCCTTGCACGTTGCCATCAAATTCCACAAAGTTAAAAAGGAAGGGTTCAGTGGTTCTCTCCATCTTTAGATGAGAGCTAATTTTAGGAAACCCTGTTGCAATAACAAAAGGCACTGTGGCTTTGTCTGTAGGACTCATCACACCCAGGGCACCTGGAATACAGAGTGTCCCCAGGTACCTGTGCTTACTGTCACCTGGGGGGAAGCAGTTAGCGGAGAAAAGGGGTCTGTTCTGAGGACCCCTTCCAAGTTTCTGCAGATCTCATTAGCAGAGGCCCCTATTAGTGCTTATTAGGAAGGTGTTTGGGCTTTTTAGTTCATTCCATTTTCATGATGTGGATAGCAGCCGGGAAAGAATGGAGTGAAAAAGAAATGTGTTTCAGGAAGGGACCCAGGGCTGGGGAGACAGCTGCTGTCCAGGCGCTGCACAGGAATCTACCAAGGCCTTAATGAGGGCCATGAGGCCTAGATCCACACACAAAGGAGGAGGTAGAGAGCAAGCTGGGTGGAAAAGCTCATGTACATTGGGGCCCTGGTGTGTGTACACTGTGTGAAGCATCCTTTCCGAGGTCACTGACATTTTGCACAGACTCCAGGCTTCCTTTGGCCAGTGCAAGAAGCAGTTGGTGATGCATTGTTAAGCTGGGATGGTCACAAATTGTCCAATACTTGTCCTTTCAGGTGCTAGAGGATGGGGTGGTCTGAGGAGTTTCCTGAATGGGGGTCACCCCACCTTGTGGGTCTTCAGGGAAGCACGTTGGAAGCACTGATCCACAGCAATAAGAAATTGTACTTTCTCCGGGCATACTAGTTCCCGCCTTCTTTCATCTCCAGTCTTTCACAGAATATGCCTCGCTTTCTCACATATTTCCTGTTTTGTCTGAAATAGCATTATGTGAAAACAGGTGAAAAACAGCAAGATCCAAACAATATGATCTGCAGGCAGAGGCATGTGGTTTCGCTTTGACTTATCCAGCTCCTAGCCGGGCTCTGAACTGATCGTCCACCACTGCAGATCTTAGCTTCTTTCACAGAGGAGCAGGGGTAATAACATCTGCCCTGCTGAGAGCACACGGTGGCTTACACACAGCAGAGTGTTCTGTGTGACATGGCTCTGTAAGTAGAAATAGTGCCATGGATACAAGGTTAGCAAAAGGACAACCAGTTACTCTGTGAATGAAATCTTCTCTTAGAAAATGGACATCCAAATGGAGTCAGCACTAACCTAATACAAAAATCAATACAGTTTAGAAGAAAATACAAACACCTGCACCAATATCTTTCATGAATATAAGAATTATTAACAAGGTGTTAGCACACATACCTACTGCTCAGAGATATGCTACTGAATCACACTGAAGTGTAAATGACTACTAGTTAATTCTCTGAGCAGATAGGGAAGCCTTGTGCAAGCCAACGAGAAACCTGGAGCTACAGCTGAGGAGTGGGCAGGAGGTACCAGGTGTGGGTACATAGCCCAGGAAAGAAAATCAAGCTACAGGACATGGACTAGTTACATACAGCTGTTGCTTCTGCTAGACCCTGATGTGAATTACTCAGTCACTCAGGTTGAAATTTTCTGCATCTGCATGAAAATTTCTGCATCTACAAGACTGCATTTCTTCAGGTCCTTATTTACTTATACATTAATTAACTGTCTTTATTGGGTATGCTGGGGATTTGACCATGATAGGCCATCCAGAAAATACACAAATATTTTTTGTGCATTGGTAAGCCAACCTCCCTTTTCAAGTAGGCTGTTATGTAATATGAAAGAAAAAATTTTAAATGAGTATGCTACAGGCTGTGCTTTACAGATTTGGCCTGTTTTGTGTCAGTGAACATGGGCTATAAACGTGCTCTAGGTCGAGGGAAATGCACACATAGAATCTTAAGTGCTCTGACTTCCAGAAAGGGGCTTTCAACAGGACATTGCTATGGTATAAATAGGAAATGTCCCCCAAAGATGGATGCCTTGAGGTTGCTAACCTCATCAGTAGGTGGGTCTCTTAATGTATTCATAATTAAAGAACTATCAGGAAGTGGAAACCAGAAAGAGAATGTTGGTCACTGGAGAAGTGCCTTTGATAGATATATCTTGACCCCAGCCACATCTTTGGCTCTATCTCTGTCCCACTCTCTCCCCATCTCCCCTTCCCTCCCCTTTCTCCCGCCCCTCCCCTTCCCCATCTCCCCTCTCTCCCTTCTCTTCTCCCCTTCTCCGCTCCTTGCCCCTCTGGGTCTCCCTCTCCCCTTC